AAAAAAACATGCTTTGCTTGCAAAAAATGAATCTATCTCTCTCGTCACACATGAAAAGAAAAAGAAAATATTTTTTGTCAATTTTTCCTTGTTAAAGCAATCAATGAATATATAAGGTCGAAGCACAACTATGTGAGTGTATCATTTGATCACTTTTTAATATTCATCTACCTTTTATTTTATTATCACCCGTCGAAAAACAACAAACACCAATGAAGGTATTTACACAAGTAGTTTGTCTCATAGTTGCTCTCATGTTAATGGGGACAATCTGCATGGCATCACTGGGATCACGTCAAGATGTTGATGTCGAACGCTTTATACGTTTTATGATCAACACGCTTACTATTTCTTCGTTTACCATACAGTTTTAAGTCACAGTATCGCTAATAAATTAAACTAATAATCTTTGCTATGAATTTAACAAAATATTTGAACAGCTGTATGATATGAACTATTCGGTCACCTAGTGTTCCTTCACGACACAATCAACCACAAATCTTTGCTATCAATAGAACAAAATATTCGAGTAGCTGTTTCGTATGAATTATTCCTTCATCGAGTGTTCCTAGATAAATTACTCAACTCTCGTCTTTCTTTCAAATTCAACAAAGCATCTGAACAGCTGTTTGATATGACTCATTCCTTGATTCAGCGTTCCTCCATGATACGATCATCTTCAAATCTTTTCTTCGAATTCAACCAAATATCTCAATAGTTCTTTGATCAAAAATATTCCATGATCGATTGTTCCTCGCTCATACAACGAACAATACATCTTTCCTTCGAATTGAAGAAAATATTTGAATAATTGTTCTTATAAATTGTGTTTTCATCGACTGTACCTGGATCCTTTCATCAATTACAAATCTGTCATCAGAATTGAACAAAATATTTGAATAATTGTTGATATAAATTGTTTCTTGATCGAGTGAACCTTGGTCACTTCATCTACTAAAAATCTTTCTTCAGGATTGAGCACAATATTTTAATAATTGGTCGCATAAATTGTTTCTTGATCAAGTGTACCTTGGTTATTTCATCAACTAAAAATCTTTCCTCAGAATTGAACAAAATATTTGAATAATTCTTGATATAAATTGTTTCTTGATCGAATGTACCTTGGTCATTTCATTAGCTAAAAATTTTTCCTACGAATTGAACAAAATATTTGAACAATTGTTCGTATAAATCGTTTCTTGATCGAGTGCACCTTGGTCATTTCATCGACTACAAATCATTTCTTAGAATTGAACAAAATATTTGAATAGCTGCTCGTATAAATTGTTTCTTGATCGAGTGTACCTAGGCGATTTCATCGACTACAATTCTTTCCTTAGAATTGAACAAAATATTTGAACAAATGCTTAAGATGAGCCATTTCTTGATGGTATATTTCTCTATGATATATTCAACAATAAATCTTTGTAGTGAACTGAATAAAATATTTGAATAATTATTCTTATAAATTGTTTCTTGATCGAATGTACCTGGATCATTTCACCAATTACAAATCATTCCTTAGAATTGAACAAGATATTTGAATAATTGTTTTTTCTGAATTATTTCTTGATCGAGTGTACTTGAATCATTT